TTGATTGATGGTATCCATAGTAACAAAGAACAAACCTACAAAGTTTGAAAATGTAAATAAGCAGAACTAAACTGTCAAATGAATTTTGATTTCCACAATTCCTCACAGCTGGTTCAAACATATTAAATACTGCACGAATATTAGAACAGAAACTGTATGGATCATAAACATAAATAATTGATGTCCCTCACCTGAACGTAAATATAATTTATAATTACTTAATGGAACTATAAAACCATGACGTGTTAATGTTATTTAATGTTAATTATATAGGATTCTTTAAGTTACGTCATTCGTTTGTTTGTGTTTATGATCCATAGGCCTAGTGAGTCTGTTATATTTTTGAAAAGTGTTAATAATATTTTACAGAGAATAATTGTAAAATAAATTATTAATGGATATTCAGATTCAGAATATAAGAATTAATTAATATTTTATAATCATTACTGTACCAACCTACTCTTAACTCTTATCCTGAGTTTTGTGAGAATTATTTTATTGATTTATTTTTGAGTAAACAGTAATATAACACCCCTGCCGCAGAAAACCTGCGAGTTTCCATTTTCCTGATTAAAATTTCACCAAAATATGTTAGAAAATTACCTTATTGACAGGTTTGAAACTATTGTGATAGCTATAAAGAACAGCAGTTGGTTTGCATATTTTCAGATATGCTGGCCAAACTATTATACATAACTTCCTTTTATGTTGTTTGTTGTTCCGGATCGGTATGACAATCAATAAAAGGTTAAATTACCTGTTTCCGCCAGTCGATCCTAATGTATCCTATTACAGCATTTCCTGCATTATGCATTTCGGCGAAATTAAATCGCCATCATCAGTCCTAATCCTAATATAAGGTCCCAAGCTTCCCCATTAGGTGCGTCTTGGAGTTTTTGAAACACATACACGAACTGTACACTTATACACATGACGAATAAAACATAAATACACGGTAGACCTACTTTTATTTTTACTATGGACATGTAGACGCGCGTCGGTCGTGTGCCGAGTCTCGACTGAAAACACTCATTTAAAAAATGTAAGTTTCTCAGTCATATACAACGCTCATTCAAGGTCTATTTCCCAGTTATCAAAACTCAAGAACAATTTTATACACAAAGAATCTCTATTTTCATTTACGGTTACCCTACAAATTATTGCACTTGCGATTAATTAAATCCGTTATGTAAGGAAAAACGTTTTTAATCTTACTTGGTTTGTATTTGCTTTCAAAACGTGATCGGGGTTGCGGTATTTGTAAACAACATTCAATGTAAACATATCAGTGACAGCTAGAAGAAATAATCTTGATTCGAACAGCTGTTCGTTATTTCATAGATGAATATGTGATAAACATTGGGAGAACACTTTACAAAAATCGCACAAAATTGGGTTTTTAACGTCCGTCATTTTATTTACAAGGTAGTGACGCAATATTTTAATGGCTAAAGACAATCTCGCCAATCCATTGAATACATTAAAATGATTTGGAACTTGATAGGTACTCTCGTTTTTCAGGAGAAGGCCGCGTAAAATGGCTCTTGGGCCGTGACAGACAGGAAGACAGACAGACAGAAATTTAGATGAGACTTGTTTCGGTTTCTTTAATGTTTAAAACGTAAAAATAACCTAAAAGTTTATGATTCTGAGCAATGTACAGACAAAACTCTAATTTTATTTATATAGACTAGTCTCTGGATCAAGATGTACCAATATTAAAAAGGTTTATATTACCTGTTGCGTCAATTGATACTTGCTGATATGAATAACTACAGCTGTCTCGTGCTGCTAAGAGCACATTTTCAAGTTAAGTGCGTTAAACACTATTCTCTTTGATGTATGAGGCTGTCAGTTCTAAATATTACTTTTCTAAGGACACAAAACCCAAACACATCCGAAAACGACATTTATACAACAGAATTCCAAGGTAGACCGAATACGAGGTATACTGGTTGATGATTTGAATGTGAGATGAATCATAATGAATATAACGTTCAACCTGGAGATGCGCTCTAAGCAGCACTAAACAGCTGTTCATAAACACAAAGGTCAATTGACGCAACAGGTAAACGCCCTTTCTTTTATATTTTACTGCCGAAAGACAATAAATTGCATATGGAAATATCAATCATCTTAACTAACTATGAATCCAATTGATCCAATTAATCAAGCCAAACAATCTTATTTACATCGTTGCAGCATTCCTAAATGCCAATTAAGCCAATATATACTTATTAGTCGTGAATCTAAGGGTAGATTTCCTCAAACAATAATATAACAATTTGTACTTTAGGTTGCACACTGTTGCAAAGCACGACTTAAAGATTACGTAATAGAGAGGCAAGTCCCAACTTCGCCTCTTAAAGGACATTTTCCATTTAATTTAATTCTTTTTCATTTCATGACTACAATATATCCATAGCCAACACCAGCTGCCGTGGCAGCAGCAGTAATGTAGCAATAAATTCGTTTGTTGTACAGAGGGATTTTCGTACTTTACTCTGTAGTAATGCTATAGATAATTTACGAATACGAATATCGGGAGAACGAAAGAACCGAAACCGAATCAGTCTCGCTGTTACATCGATCGAGTGTGTCGACCGACCGAGCTGTCTCTGTTTAGCGCCGGCCATTTGTATACTCTATGCGTTAACAATTAGTGACGTCAGCATCCGGTTATGTGATTAGCGGATCAAGCTTGTAGCTGTGCTTACTGGACTGGTCGATATCACTAACCGGAACTGGTCATTTGACCGGAAGTTGTTTATTGTGAATGTTTTTGTAGAGAAGAGAACGGAATCGATTATCGAATTTTGATAATCGGATGCAAGAAAATAATGGTCAGACGGGGTTTATAAAATGAAAATCTACTCAAATATCCTTTACACCAACATTCCGTAGTACAATTATTGAAGTTTATTTCATCAGTAGAGCCTAAAGTGGCCTTTTTCGACACGACCACAACTTAAACGGTTGTAAAGTTATCAAGAATCGAAAGATCTACGACTTGACCACAATATAACTATAGGCTGACTTCAATGTCCCCGTAATAGTATTTTCTATTATGCTTATCATAGCTTGTGGTGAAAATTGATTCCAGTTACAAACCATTGACCATTGTTAGAAACCTAATATACTTATCATCCTTATTATTGTAAAATCCGAAGCAACTTGTTCGTTTCATTATTACGTTCTAATTTGCTAACAGTATCTCTCTAGTTATACATGATTGAGCAATGAAAACCGAGCATTAAAAAATCTAATACAAAAATAATCATCTCATTCGTGAAAATGTACAAAGATTATACAAGTAAAATTCCTAATTTTGATTGGTAAATGGTAAAAAATTCGTTTAAAATATTTTTTTAGTTAGATACTTTTAATTTCACAGAACCATAATCGAAATAAAGCCTCTCAAAACTAGTCTATGTACATTGATTATAGTTTATGGGTGATATATTAAATTTCCACATATCTGAAAGTGGTTGCGGTTAAAAAGCTATAATAAAGAGTAACAACATCTTACAATTAAACTAAAATTTAAATTCGAGAGAAAAATGACAGTTTCAATTTCAAAGTCAATTAATTATGTTAGAGAATTCTATGAATGTATAAAATGTAAATATGCAGTTTTTACTGTCATAAAAAAGGCGAAGTTTCTTTTGGGATTTTTCTATGAAAGTGATAGGTGGTAGAGTTGATTTATTCGTCCTCAATCAGTACCAAAACATGTTGAAAGGAAATAAATAAATACAAATCAGATAACGTAAGAAGCGAGTGTATTTACAGCGAAGAGATCTGCCTAGTGTACAACATACCATTGTAACGAAAATATATACTAACAACACAACTTAGTGAAAAATATAATACATTAACCAGATTTATATAAATCAAAACATTTGAACATAACAAAAAAAAGGTTAAAATACAGTCAATAACGGTCCAAGTTCAAAAGCAAAAGTCATAAATACCATTAAATAGTACCATAGTACCTTTGTGTTCAAAATAAAGTTGATTCACGTAAAATTAACAATACAATAAAAAACACACAAAATAATTACAAATTTAATTATCTCGGGATTTTACCGTCAAAATTGAAGTATAGTGTTATTTATCTCAATAAAAAGACAATTTCGAAATTGGTTTTTCAGTTGAAGTAGGTTGAAGGATTTAATACTTTTAGTTTTTGTAAGGTATAGGACTATTTAATCGTTTTTACAGTGTTTTGTTAATTAAAAAGTACCCTAATTCAAGAGGTTCTAATGTTTTTGAAGTGTTGATAATTGTTTTGGATTTTATAGAAAAAGATTAAATACCAACTTCAATTCTCCAACCACCAACTAGAGAGTAAATGTTAGCTCAGCAACACTATAAAGAAGAATATAACTTATACATGTACATAACAGAAACTATAAATTTAATAATCTCATGAAGTGGTGTCTCTGACGTACATAAGTCTTTGACTCTAAAACGCACTACTTAAACCTATGATTTATAGGGATAAATTTACATGATTAAACTGATTCGTTTTATACATATTTAACAGATGTCAAATATCGCATTTCCACGTTAAATGTCTCACTTGGCAAATGGCAATGCTGTTAACACTTTAAACCTATTTGCTATGTTGTTTAGTGAGATTGACCTGTTTGACACTGTGCAGTTCTAGATCACATGTCTAATGAATATTAATCTTTGGGAGATGACCTTGTCGTTTAGTGAAATACCCAGATGATTAGGTTACGTTACACCAATCCATGTACGGGGCAAGCGAAATCAAGTAAAGAAACTAAAACGTGCTCTTCAGCAGATTGTAGCTTTCCCCGACGATGGAATCGTTACAACACATTCAAAACTAGGCCCAGTGTATTCTAGTCCAACGACGCGGTCATCTCCAAAGACCTTTGAATTATTTTCATTGTGAGAACCTAACCTCTAGTTTATATCACAAAATGTTCACGTAACTTTGCCCATATAGTCTGTAAACAACGATGGTACTACACTGACTCTTTGTCCCTCCCCAGCTCCAGCGCCTCCGCGTGCTTCTTCGCCTTCAGTCTGAGGTCGGCGATGGAGGAGTTCTTAGAGTGGAGGCGGTCATTGTGGAGTGCCGCGAGGGCGAGGCTGTACTGCGGGTGACAGAGCAGCAGAGGGGACGTGCCAGGGGCCGCGAGGGCAGCAGCCGCCGCCGCGTACTGGAACAACACATATAATAAACTGTGGGAATTAGAACATGGGGTATAAACTGTGGGAAGTATAGACTGCGGGGGGATTGAAACATGGAGGATAATCTGCGGAAAAGGAAAAATACTGTGGGAGTCAAAACATGGAGGATAATCGGTGACAGCTTGAACACTGGAGACATAGAGTAGGAACTGTAGTACTGTATCCACAACATAGAGAAACCACTGAAGAAACTGCTAAGTATAAACATAAATAAACGATTACAAGACTAAGTTACAAGACCATTGACCTGCAACGACAAATTCAAATTACTAGGTGAAACCCGTCGTCCACATCATAAAATATTGGAAAAGCTTATATAACTATTTTTGGCTTTTAAGTATTGTTTGAAACTGCACCGTTGTTGAGGTCCATTACAATTTACTGGTAATGGCCAAAGATGCTTCCTACATAGCTAGTACGAGTAATTAGTGCAATTCAGTAACCAAACAAGGCTATACTAAGCTGGTACTGTAGCCAGGAATTTTGACCCACACTCCAATTTACCTGATGAGCGGCGGTTAGCAGCGCGGGGTCGAAGGCGGAGAAGGTAGCAGGTGGAGGGAACGGCAGAGAAGGCAGTCTAGGTACGTTGACGTAGGGAGCTACTCTGCATGGCTCTAGAGGAGTAGCTACTGGGGGACTGGTGTGTGTCACATGACTAGACAACATCATACCTGCAGCTGCAACAACCACAAACATCAGTAAGATCAGGTAGCTGTAGGTATGAATTGACTGTTACATTTCTTCCATTAATAACACCCAACCAAACTCCTAATCATGTTGAATCACAGCGTTTTCAAATCAGCATTGAAAAACAATTTACCAATATTTTATCAATTTAACCACACTTTAATCTTGACACTAAATGATACAAACAGTGCATACCATTATCTGTGCCAAATACAAAAATAATAACCAGCGCAGAGCGGTGCACAGTGAGCTACAGTTATAGCCACGTTCTGACCCTTCTTATTAGATTAAGAGGGAAAATCCTGTATACAAATTGGAGTGCGTAATATTTCTAAATCGCTTAGAGGGGAGCTGCGAAACGGCCAGCCATTAGACGCTTGACCCTCGTGTTAAATGGAAGGAGTGGATGGGGGGGGGTGAGAAGGGCTTTTTGGAAATTGCGCACAGATCATCGGCCGGCCTTAAGCCCTTAAAAAGCTGGACTTGAGATGTCAACATATTTTATCACACGTTATGCTCAAATGCGTCCATATATGCTGCTTTTTAGGACCCTCGGAAGTTTTACGGTAAGTAGGAAATGCAGAACACTTTATTTTGCGATTTTTATCTTCTTTTCTAAAAGCATTTGTAATGTTTGGAGGTGTGTTTTGGATTTGTAATTTTAAAATAAAAGTATTTTCCAAGTAAACAATTAGTGCGATTTATGTTATTCCTCTTTCGTGTATCGTCTTTGTTTATTGGATACAGCCGGTTTATATAGATACTATCTTAAATTTAAACCAGAGGGGAACTTTGTTTTCAGTACCAACTGGTGAGCCAATTCAGAATTTCTTAATGAATTAATTAATTAATTGCAACCAACTGGTTTTAAGAAATTCTGAATTGGCTCATCAGTTGGTACTGAAAACAAAGTTCCCCTCTGGGGCCCATTTCATAATAAAGTACAAACTAATATTATTAGTAAATCAGCTGATTGCCCAATGCAAATCTAATGGAAATAACAAGTTACAAGTTGTAACTTGTAACTTGTAGTTTATTATGAAATGGGCCCCTGGTTTAAATTTAAGATAGTAAAACAGTGATTCAACTCAGCTGAATTTTAATTTCCTTTTAGGCTGATTTTATTATTTTCTTTGATCTGTACTCAATCATATGTTCTCAAAATTAAACTATTTGTAAACAGTTCATATTTATTTGTTTTGTTCATCTTTACATTTTTCATTAATTTCTCTTTGCTTGAAAACGTTTGTATTAAACGAAAATTTGCAATGTTTCATGTTTCATTCATCATAAACTCTATCAAGATCTCCTCAAGAATATATATATATACATATATAAACGGATTTCTATGAATGGATGGTGTTTTTGGCCTCTGTTGACCAATTTCCTTGATTGGTAAGCAAAATTATTGTGACATAAAACCAACGCACCAAACCGACGAAAATGATCTTGTTATCACATATTCCCCGATTTCCTTCATTTTTCAGTATTAGATTGAAATTACAAATATAGAAGGAACAAATAAAGTTAGTCAAAGATGTTGCACTTCTTTAATACTGTATTGTTTTTGTACTTTTGAGTTGTAATTTTACTAGTTTTTATTTTTCAACAATACCTACAGGTATATTGATGGGATAACTTCTCCATATGGATCGCACCACACTTTATCACGTGCCTAACACTAGAACTATTAAACACACAGCCAGAAGTCCTAATTCATCACTCCATTCCTCCCCAAGCCCCAGCAAGGTCCACAACGTATGGCGGCACTCCATTATGCACGGCCCAGTCCCCACGGGCATCGTTACAGAGAGTTACTCTCAATTTGATTACAAAAACTTGTCACAACCAAATCTGGCCGACTGACTCAGTTCACATTTGGCAAATTAAACAAACCCTTGGAATAGACCGGGGTTTATTTTTGGCCCATTTGCATCACTTTTATTTGATTGCGAAGGGGGTGTGGATTGAGGGTGTTTTTGGGAACTTAGTTTTAATGTAAGTGTTTCGGTGTCTTGGTAATTGTAAGAATTTAATTTGAGTGGTAGATTTTTCACCCTATTGTAAAATTCATTTTGTCTTTATGAGTTTCATGTCTATGTCGTTTAGTGCACACATGTTGACTGTTTCTATGCTATTGTAGGTTTCAAGATTAGAGTTTGAAGTTTAGTTCAAATATTTCAATAGTTGGTTGGATTCAAACTGTTTGCTTATTTAAAGTATAGTCCTACGTTGTTGAATGGTAGTTTCTAGAAAAGGTAGTGGCTAGAAAGACAAACATTTTGCAGTACAGTATTTTAATGCTGTAGCTTACATCGTAAAGAAGTTACGAGTGTTTATATATAAAAAAAAACACACAGACAGATAGACGCTAAACGGTTCGAGAGAATACATATGTTTGCATTTTTTCCTTCTTTTGACCGCCCGAATAATCTTGTAAAGCTGTTCATATTGGAAGCTGGACACCCTGTATACAAAGATAGTAATTATTTATTTACCTTTATGCAGTTGGCTCTCATGTTTTCTGCATTTTGCTCTTCTGTTTTGGAACCAAACCTGAAATGACAAGAAAATTGAAATTAGTAAATTTTTAAATGCACATAACTGTGTACGATTTTTGGTAACTTAAATTAGATTTTCATATGTTTACGAGCAGTCGTAATAGTGTATTTCATCATTCGTAAAGTGACTCTTTTTGACCCGAGCTCAAGTTTTACAATGAGGGAACTCCATGGGGATGAGCCGCTTTTTGCGTGCGATGAACTATAGATTTGTCGTCATAATAAGCCAAAACCAAATAGATCAAATCAATCGATAAATAATTTCGATACATGTGATTGCTTGCAATTGAAGTGTACAACTGTTATAACAGCTGACTTTTACTCCCAGAGAATAAAAGAGGTACTTTAGACACGCAACGCATGTATTAAAAACTGCTAATCTGGCTCCAGTATGTCAAAATTTAATAATGTACAGTATTAAATAATGGACTTCAATTCTTTAGGTTGCATCTTCCTATCGTACTTGTTAAGTTTTTTAGAAATCATATAAATATTTTTTTAATGAAGGCTGTTCTTTAGCTACAGATTTAGTTTTAAAAGTATCTCTTAAATTTCAAAACCATCCAAACGATAAAGTATTTTTTTAATCATAAGTAGAAACATAAAAAATAATTAATGCTTGTTTGTGGTGGATAGGATCAAAGAATGTCTTATTGTTTACTTGTTTGGAGCAAAGGACCCCAATGATCCCTGTGGTAAACTACTACTTACAAGAAATACATTCCTAATTATTATGATTTTCCCCTCAATATCTACATAAATAACAGTCTGACCTAACCTTAAAATGTTTAAGAACATCTCATTTATGCATGTTTACTAGTTAGTAACATATAAAATAAGCGAGCTCATAAAATATTTTATAGAATATTATTTACATCCTTAGTTTGAAAATACACCTAAACATTTTCCCGTTAAAAGACAACAACGTCAATCACTCAAGAAATAAAGAGAAATCGTTTAGTTACCCTGAAAGCCAAGCAGTTTCGCTCGGTTAGGACGAAACAAAAGATATAAAGTGCAATAGAGTAAATGGCAGAGGAAAATCGAGAAGATCGACTCAATTCTATTAGCGCCGGAAGGTTGGCAACAATCACGCGAGTAGTAAACAGGTGGTAGCCCTGATAATCTGATCAATGCCCTCTTCTTCTTCTCCCCCAGCTTTACCTGCACTCGTGCGGCAATTAACATAATTAAACCTCCTGCCAACTTCCCCTCCGTCTTAGGAGTTCTTGACGTATCTTTAACTCCAAGAAAGGGTTGCCCGGGGTAAGATTCTCAGAATGGCTTTGGGCTTGTTTCAATCTCTGAAATAACATCTCTGGTAATTTATTAGTCTAGTGAATAATTAATGTATGAAGGATTTGAAAGCTTTATAGGTAATTAAACAGAGTAATTTATGATAGTGAGTTTCAAGTTTTAAAAATACATTCACGTACATGCACTGAATGATTTTTCAAGGCAGTAAATATAGGTAAGCTATTTAAAAACTGCTATCGATTTTGACTTATCAAACAGATCATCGGCAGCATATCGAGACGGATTTTAAGGATATAAATAGGCTTATGTTTTGCCAGGTCATGATATACCTGTTCATAAACTTTTTAGTCCAGTATTATCAGTTGTGATCCTATTCACTCAGACCAAACACACAGACAGAAACCTTAATTATGTAATATATGATAATAAGTGAGGAAATTATTTCGGAACTTAGGCTTACCTTACCCATAAACTCACTAATAAACAAAACCGTGCTAAACTTACTTAGAACGACAAAACAAGGCACGAGAAACAGATTCTATAACTGAGGGCCCTAAAGGGGCTGAATTCCCAAGGGAAAACTCAATCGATTGTTGAACTACTCTCCAGTTGAGATTTCTGTTCTCACTTTGCTTTTCAACAAGAAAACTCTGTTTATATAGCTTAGTGATGTTTATTTATATTGTATGAAGTTGTTTTTGTCTATATCACACTAATTATTGTGGTAGTATACACTTACACGGGGCTTTAACTTGTTTTTTTAAAGGTGTAAAGTCATGCGAAATAAATTCACAACAAAAACTAAGTAATCAAATACAGTATTAGGCCATTTCTCAACCGTTCAAACCTTGTCAAACGAATAGATCAACAAATATTTACTTACGTTTCTGCTAAACATAAACCTATATATTACATCGATCATATGAAGCCAGTTACTCGAAGAGGTCATATTTCAATCATAGTCATAGTCACAATCCTATATTAGAGGATGTGATCCAAAATGTATAGTACATACAATAAGATTTAATTCTAGTTTGGTTTTGTTGACAATTTAGTGACCACTGTACCTTATAACCAAAAAAACGCTGCAGCACTAGACTCTGTCGATGGCTTTATTCGATTAAATAAATATGTTTTAGTTAAATTAAAACACCAACAGATGGAGCCGCTATGAAGTTTTAGGGGCTTTTAGATAGCTTCCGCTTAAAACAGGGCGAGAAGCCTATGTTCACTGTCAAAAGTCAATTAGTTTAATTTACAATTTGTGGTGGAAAATAACTATTACCAGTACAATTCAATACGTTTATTCTAGGCCGATCTTTAATTATAAAATATAAACATACTGCATCAATCAGTAACCAGTCATGTTTACAGTATCAATCAAATTCCGTCGTGTGATTTGATTAGTCCATAGACAGGTTGGAGTCGAATTTCCTTCAAACCCTACATTGATCAGAGCTTCTTAATTGACCAAATCATTACAAACAATAAACATTACATACCTGCACTCTTGCCTCGCTCAGACCGAGTCTTTGACTCAGCTCTTCTCTCATGAACGCGTCCGGGTAGTGAGTCTCGTCAAAGAGTCGTTCCAGCTCGTTGAGTTGTTCTAGTGTAAAGTTGGTCCGACTTCGTCGCTGCTTGTTCACAGGTTTAGGTAGAGGTGATAGTTGAAGTCGACGGCCTCCTGAAACAATTTAATTATTTGTAATTTCTTTAGTCTTAGCAAGTGATTCAAGATGACAGTGAGAGACTTTTGATTTGTGATCCTTGATAAACGAACAAGTGGTTTTATTTGGTAATGCCATTGACTATTGGATACTGAAGTAAACATCCCCAAAGGTAATACGGTTAATCTTCCCGTAGCGAAGCACGAGTACAGCAGCTAGTGTAGGATTTCTAGCTGTCTCATTTCAGATATAATTATTACTAGCTGGCCCGACAGACGTCGTTCTGTCCTAATGAGGTTTTATGTCAAATGCTCGTTCATTTTCAAGATGAGCTCGTTCGCATGGCTCAATCACGTCCTGGTTGAAGTTCGTTCGCTACGCTCACTCACCTTTAGGTTGGAACTCGTTCGCTGCGCTCACTTGCCTTCAGTTACATTTGACAACAAAATATTCGTAAAAAACAAATGGAATAGAAACCTATTTGATAGCTCTCATTTGTTATGCATAGATTTGTTTTCAAAAATTAGGTTATCATTACAACAGCTGTTTCCTTAATTTAATTTAATCAAGAAATGACAAACATGGCATGGTAAACAAAATAAAACATTCTTCCATAAGATTAACATGTAAACTGCAAAGGGCCATAGGACGCTTCCCTTAAGGTTTTTGAAACGGAAACAGGCTATTATGTTATTCTAGTACCTAAGGAATATCCCTGTAAATTTTCATGCCAATTGGTTCAGTAGTTTTCTAGTTATAAACGCTGTAACTAACACAACTTGCTTTAATATATTAAGATTTACATTTTTTGTTGTTATGATTTTGTGTTAATTCTAATTGTGAATAAAAGACAACTACATGAAAACTATTCTTTTAACACTGACACAACAGCTAGTAATATAGATACATCAATTATTAAGATTGTTCAGTAGCTTACTTGTTTCGTTGCGAAGACATTATCAAAACAACAGGTCAAAACAAGCACGACACGAACAAAAAACACGAATACACAAACAATTTAGATAGTGTTATAATAAATTTACAACTAGTTTTATATCAAATGAATTCAATAAAGTGAATCCGTCCAGCGCACAACAGCGCCTGCTATCAGCTGATGCATAACGACAGCTGTACCTATATTGCCTATCGTGACGCCTGCTTAGTTGGGATTCCCTCCCGGCGGAACAAACAAATATAGGCTAAACAATTGAAATTGTGAAGAGTCATAGTATAAAAATAATACCCCCGCCGCAGCAAACCTACCGACTAAGCGAATTTCCATTTTTCTGAATTGATTTTCAGTTAAATATATTTTAATAACATTAGGTTTAACGAGTACCTAGGTTTGCTGCTACAAGGAAACTAATAAAGTGTGTTTTTGAGTAAAATATTGATAGCTTAGTACAAAATAAATAAATTTGCCAAGTTTGATCAAAATATATCCATAAACAAGCCAACTACAACATTTGACAATAGTCTCCATAAGAATAACATGGGAATTTTAAATTTAATTTTTTTTAATTTTCTCCGTTACTAATAATCGAACAAAAATACTTTTATATACTAAATTATTTGTTTTTTTAAGCTCTTTAAAAAGGTCTAAAGAGAAATCGGTAAATTTTGTGTTTTGAAGGTCAAAAGTGAGAAAAACCAATTTTTACCCCATAAAACCCCCCGTAAAGCCCCGTTCCCATGGTCCGATCGTGCTGGTTCGCAAACTCATTCAAGTGTATCCTGCTTTACACCTTTAAACCAAATTTCATCAAAATCGGACAAAAATTACTCAAGTTATCGCGTTCACGGACGTATATATATAAGTCTATATATATATATATACATATATAAAAATTTGAACGAATGGTGTTTTTGGCCTCTGGGGACATCAAAATGAAAAAGTAAATCGGTCCCGGGTCTAGGTCTTGCCACCTACGGTAATAGCTACTTCCCTATAGTGAAATTCGCTAATAAAGTGTTATCCTACGGCGTACGATTAGTGGAATATAATAGAGAGTACTAGCCATAGTTGTTGTTACGATTCAATGGGCACTAAATACTTTTAGAAGTATTATTTATTTTGCTTATACTGCTTTAACATATTCCAAGACTGATTCATACATCAGAAAATAGTAAAAAAAAATCGAAAATTAATAAAAGTAATTTCCGTTACTAAAAAGAATATTATTTTCAAGATTTCTTTACAATTGACGATTATCTTTACTCACTATCCAAAGATTAAAGAGTATTATTTTCTTCAATATGTATTGTTTGGTTAAAATAACCATTAGAAAATAATAATTAGGAAAATTTTAAAATAAATGGCTATTAAAACCTAAGCCTCAAAGAAGGCTTAATATTATACCATTATAACCTTAATATTAGATAGGCGTCAATGCGGTGTTAGTCCCATCCATAACCAAAATCAGACACACAAAAGTGTGGCTTAATTGGATAGTGTATTTTATAAAAACCCTGGTACTCAACGACTTGGGATATTTCATTCGTATGCTTTCCATGTTGAATTGTGTTATCTATGTGTTTAAACCATTAAAACTGAGCACAATGAAACTTTCAAATGCTATTTGCTCAATCGGTGTTTGAAATGATGATGTTTAAATGCAAATACGCTTTAGTGTAAAATAAGTTGTCCATTCAGTTTTGCAACGTTTGACTAGTTAATATACAAGAAATCAGTAAACCACAGCAGCACAGAGCACACTCCTCTATCTCTATTTGACAGTGTTTATTTTCAATGAAACATTTGACATGTCCTAAAACAGCTGGAAATAGATTTAAGGTTAGTCAGTATTTTTTTGTTTGTAGAGGGTGGTTTTGTATTTACAATTTGTTACTTAACTAGAGTATTTAACTAGAGCTCGCCCCATGATTGAAAACTCGACCAAAAGTATTTATTAATTGTGCAAACTTCTCTATTTTCACCCCACACTGTAAATAAAACATGTGAATAAAATTTCTTCCATTTGTTTTGATTTTCTGTTTATATTATGTTGTTATTACGTCACCAACATAACAACACATAAGGCTCATGTTAATTTTTTTAAATTCATTTTTTGTGTTTATTTTTTATAGCCTATTTAAATTTATAAAGGGATTCTTCATATGTACAGGCAAAATATTTTTCTAAAAGTATGCGTAGATTTACCCTGCAATGCACAAAGCTAAGAAAAAAGGTTTCAATAAACATCATTGTCTATTAATATCTATGTCTATTGTCTATTAGTTAGCCCCATGTTTATTCTCCATAAGAAAAGTAAAATTTCCATTTTTGACCCAATTAAAAAAATATTTTCAAAATACAAAAAATAAAGGCTGCACATAAATGACTGATGACCTTTTTTGTACAACCCGCGTGTAATTCGGTCCAGTAGTATGGTCAGGCTATCTGTCATAAGTTTTGGGAATGTTCTATAATATATAAGATTACAAACCGTTGATGTTTTTTTTGCAGTATAGTAAAAACCCTATAATTGACCCTAACATTTAGAACATGATATATTCAACATATATGAACTTTAACATCACCAACATGAAACACACATAAAATGCTTTCAGACACGATAAGATGATAAGTTTACCTGCACTACTCAACTGTGCAAGACATTTCACGGTTAGTTTTACCTGTATCCAAAGCTACAATAATTTACCAGAGCGACACCTCTAAGTGAAAATTATTCATCTATTCACATTGAAAACCGAAACACGTACATCCGTTGATTCCCTCCACACCCGGTCCGATGTTTTCACAACCGACCGTACATATGCATGATGCTCGGAAAAAACAATCCAATTTGCTATTTCGACCACTGCAATGAGATTTCCCCCCGTGTCCGCACCCCTCCACCCCCCGCTAACTAGATTTTTATTTGCCGTTTGTTTGATTGTCTGTAGCCGCTCGCGTGGAGCACCCGCTTATCCGACTTGCAAATCTGTCGCCTCTGCAGCCCTTATGCGAGTTTTATTCGTAGCATTTTGTCGCCGGACGTTGCCGTTTTATGGGTTTGTGCTATCCGTTTTAAAATTCGCAGAAAATGTTTATTCTGTTGTGTTGGTAGTTTTAATCGTTTTTGGTCAACGAAAAATTACCGTGACGATGGAAGAAACGAGTTAAATTTTGGGGATGGTGATGGAATGTGGAATTTTATTTTAAATAGTAGTACACTCATTCTGGTAAAAATGATAACGATGAATTTAACATTTCAATAGAAATGACTTTTCTAAAGGTAAATTAAATCTTTATTATTTTGGGTTTTATTGGATTATATTAGATTGGTCCCATTGCTACACGCCGGGGATTGTATTATAAGGTAAAGATGAGAGAAGGATGGCTGTGAATGGATTACAGTATAGATTTATCATTGACTGAGATTGGTTGTTTCCATCAAAAGGTGGGTTTTCTCAGGATAAAACGGACTACATTACCATTAGTGGACAATTAGATGTGCCTTGTATCGAATCAGCTACCAGCCACATTTAATGGTGGAGTTCTTTTAAAAAAAAAATGCAACATTGCAGAAAAATAATTTTAAAAAATCAACTCCATAATTTGCATGTGGCGGTGTATCTAAATTAAACTCAATAAAGACGTATCGATTTTGATTTCACTAACTAGTCTTAACGACAAGCAATTCCGAGGGTATACTTAATAAGAGAATACTCATAAAATTACTTATCTATTCTCCTAAATTAATGATTATTTATAAAAAGCAATCAAAAGAAAATTCGGTACTTTCATGTTAAAGGGAACATTCATTATTATCGATGATTTTTTCTCGATACATCGATATTAACAAATTGAAACGTATCAGCTGACAACTACGCGATAAATATTATTGTTCGGTATGAACAAAAAATAATGAAATGAAACTGTTCTAAAAAAATAACCTAACATAACTAACGAAACTTGCTATAACATTTAAAACTTCCGTGTTTAACTTGCCTTTTCTATTTTCAAACCCAAATGGAATATTTTTAAATGGTCCAGCAAGTTTGGTTGGTTATG